CTGCTGCTGCTGCTGCTGCTGCTGCTGCTGCTGCAGGTGCTGCTGCTGTAGCTCGAGCGCCACAAAGGGATGCAGCGGCTGCAGCAGTTCCTCCAGCGTCCCCACGGGGACAGCTGCAGCCGCGCTGGCTGCTGCTGCTGCTGCTGCTGAGCGCGGCGCTGCTGCAGCAGCAGCAACCCAAGGGCTGTACACTGCAGCAGCAGCAGCAGGCAGCTCTTCGTCTGCATCCGGATAGAAGGCAACGTCATACAGACGATGAAAAGCAGCAGCTACTGTTGCGTTTCTTACCCTCCCTGCTGCTCGTGCTGCTGTTGCTGCTGCTGCTGTTGCTGCTGCTGCAGGCTCTGCTGCTGCTGCTGCTGCTGCTGCGCCTTGGGGCTGCATCCTCCGCAGCAGCAGCAGCCGCTCAAGTGCATGCAAAGCCTGGCCCCCCGGGGCTAAGTAGGCAGCAGCAACGAGTTGAGTCAAGGCAACTGCAGCAGCAGCAACAAAGAGCAGCAGCAGCAGCAGCAGCAGCAGCATTGCTGCTGCTGCGCGGCGTGTCAGCAGCTTCCGAGCTACCTGCTGCTGCCACAGCGCCACCCTACGCAGCTGCAGCAGCGTGGGGCTTCTCTTTAAAGCTGCATCGATGCTAATGAACGAAGAAGGTCTTCGTTCTCTTGCTGCTGCTCCTGCTGCTCCTGCTGCTGCAGCACGCGGAGGCAGCCGCGCAGACACCGCACGCAGCAGCTGCAGCGGCCCTCTCGGGCGGCGATAACCTACCACCCCTGTGCTGCTGCTGCTGCTAGCTGCAGCATCAAGCCTCTGCTGCTCTTGCTGCAGCACGTCGCGCAGGGCAGGAGACAGGTCGTCGAGGGACGGCCAGCTGTCGGGTGCAGCAGAAGCTGCTGCTGAGGTAGCAGCAGCAGCAGCAGCCTCCGAGCTAGGTGTAACTGTAAGGAATATCTGCTGCAGCAAATCCGCTCCTGCTGCTGCAGCGCATGCAGCTACTACCAAACAGAAAGGCAGCAGCAGCAGAGCCAGCGCATCTCCCTGCATCAGGTCTTGTTGTTGCTGCAGCAGGCCTTGTTGCTGCAGCAGCAGGTCATGTTGCAGCTGCAGCAAGTCTTGCTGCTGCTGCGGCATGTCTTGCTGCTGCTGCTGCAACAGCAGCAAACATAGGAGGCCCCCCAACCAGGGGAAGCCAACGTCGAGGCAGAAGAACCAAGGCACGAGGCCGTCCTCATTTTTGCTGCTGCTGTTGCTGCTGCTACTGTTGCTTTTGCTGCTGCTGCTGCTGCTGCTGTTGATGCCCTTGCTGCTGCTGCTGATGCCCTTGCTGCTGCTGCTGATGCCCTTGCTGCTGCTGCTGCTGCTGCTGCTGCTGCTGCTGGGTAAAGTTAGGTTTGGGCCCCAGAAGCCCCAGCGAAGACGTTTGGTAGGGCTCCTAAGAACAGCGGGCTTCAACGCTGCGTTGGAGCTGTTGCTGCTGTTGCTGTTGCTGCTGTTACTGTTCTTGTTGTTGCTGCTGTTGTTGCTGCTGCTCTTGCTGTTGCTGCTGCTGTTGCTGCTGCTGTTGCTGCTGCTGTTGCTGCTGCTGTTGCTGCTGCTGTTGCTGGTTTTGCTGCTGCTGAACTCTTTGCAGGCGTCAGGTGTCGCCTTGAGGGGCTGCTTCTTCCGTCTGCTGCAGCTGCTGCAGCAGCAGCTGTACGCCGCCCTGCGCGCTGCAGCCAGGAAGCGGAAGAGGCGGTCTCGCAGCAGCAGCAACTTCTGCGTGAGCAGCAGCAGCAGCAGCAGCACAGGCAGCAGCAGCAGCAGCCCGTAAGAAGCAAACAGCGCTCCTCCAGGTAGCAGCAAAATCCTCTCGTGGAGGCTCAGCAAACCCCCGGAAGCTGCAGCAGCACCTTCCCGCTGCCACAGCAGCAGCTGACTGCTGCTACTGCTGCTGCTACTGCTGCTGCTGCTGCTAAGTGGAAGGTTGGCTGAGGTGTATTTCCATCTCAAGGGATCGGCGCTAGCATGCGACAGCAGCAGCAGCAATTGCTGCAGCCCCTGCTGCAGCAAAAGCAGCAAAGAAGCCTTGATCTGCTGCAGTCGAAACACCAACGCGGTGTACATACACCCCAATTGCTGCTGCAGCGGCAACGGCTCATTTAAACGGAGCGTCTCTGATGCTGCTGCTGCTGCTGCACCCAGCAGCAAACCAAACGCAGCTGCTAACAGCAGCAGCGAGAGCCCCCGCAACAAACGACCTAACAAGCCCCGTGCCCTGCTGATGCTGCTGCTGCTGCGGTTGCTGCTGCTGCTGCTGCAGGCTTTAATGTCTGCCTCGTGGCCTGCCAGACCGACGGTGAGTTGCAGCAGCAGCGGCAGCAGTCCGAGCAGCAGAGAAGCATCTGCTGCAGCAGCAGCAGCTGCTGCCCCGCACACCATACTGCCAACAGCACGCAGGCGGTAACGAGCAGCAGCAGCTGCTGCTGCGTCTGCAGTTGCTGCTGCAGCACCAGAAGTGCTGCTGCGAACGCTGCGCTTGCCTTTGGGGTCTCTGGCCTTGTCAGCGCTGCTGGTGCTGCTTCGCCTTCTTCGGCTGCTGCTGCTTCGGTCTCTGCTGCGGCTGCGGCTGCTTCTGTTACTGCTGCTGCTGCTGTCGCTTCTGCTGCTGCTGCTTTCGCTTTCGCTGCTGCTGCTGGTCGCCCGCGATGCTGCCTCACGCTTCTCTTCCTTGAGGTCTGTGAGGGTCCCCAAGCTGCTGCTGCTGCTGCTGCTGCTGCTCTTGCTGCTGCTGCTGCTGCTGCTGCTGCTGCTGCTCCTGCTCCTGCTCTTGCTGCTGCTGCTGCTGCTGCTGCTGCTGCTGTGCTGCTGCTGCTGCTGCTGCTGCTGCTGCTGCTGGTCTTGCTGCTGCTGCTGCTGCTGCTGCTTCTGGTGTTTTGCTGCTGGAGCACTAGGGCCGCTCTGCTGCTGTATTTGCACCGAAGGGCGGCGACGTGGAAGCAGCATGCAGCAGCAGCAGCAGCAGCAGCAACAGCAGCTGACGGGGAGGCTGAGAGCTGCAGCAGCAAGGGAGAGCACCCTACTGCAGCAGCAGCAAAGCAGCAGCAGAAGAAGAAGTTGAAGACGCACAAACGCCAACGGCGAGCAGCAGCAACTCGGTGTCTGTGTCTGTGCTTTGCTGCTGCACGGAGCTTCTTCTCTAAGCGGTAATGCAGTCTGCTGCTCCTGCTGCTGCTACTGCTGTTGTTGTTGTCGCTGCTGCTGCTGTCGCTGCTGTCGCTGCTGCTACTGTCCTGCCGACGTTTGCGTTGTTTACTAAGGCTGATGGCGGTGTGTGGCGCTGCTGCTGCTGCTGCTGCTGCTGCTGCTGCCTCTTGAGCCTCTGCAGCAGCAGCAGCCGCAGCAGCGCCTGCTTGCCTCAAAGCCACGTAAGCAGCAAAGAGCAGCAGCAGCAGCAGACAACGAGCGAGCAGCAAATAGCTGAGGCCTGTGGGGACTTGTGCAGCGAGACGTACCTTGTTGCTGCTGTTGTTGCTGCTGCTGTTGCTGCTGCTGCTGCGTGTGGCTGGCGGCGCGAAGGAAACCCGCAGCAGCAAACCCGGCAGCAAATTCAGCAGCTGCTGCAGCGCGCTGTGGGGAGAGGGCAGCAGCAGCGGAGGCAGCTTCGGCAGCAGCAGCAAACCACAAGGCATGAGGAACGGCTTGCTTAAAGAGAGAGGAGTCACGTGGCGCAGCAGCAAACGCTGCAGCAAAGAACCTGCAGCAGCTTTCGCTTTCGCCAGTGCTGCTGCTGCTGCTGCTGCAGCTGCTGCTGCTGCCGCTGCTGCTGCTGCTGCTGCATCTACCACCACACGGCAAAGCCGACTTGCATGCGTTGTAGCTGCTGCTACCGTCACGCTGCTAAACTGCAGCAATTCCAACGCTGCTGCTGCTGCTGCTGCTGCTGGCAGGCGGCGGCTGCTGCAGCTGCTGCAGCGTACACCTGTGGGCACTGCAGCAGCAGCTGCTGCAGCAGAAGCAGCAGCATCCGCAGACCCTTCGCTCTTCTGCGCCTCAGATTCTCCTTGCCGCCACCAATGCCGTGACTGCTGCTTCTGCTGCTGCTGCTGCTCCTGCTGCAGCAGCAGAAGCTGCTGCTGCTGCTGCGGCTGCTGCTGCTGAAGTAAGGTCTCAGGGGAGATGCAGCTAAAGAGACAACTCAACTCAGATGCTGCTTCACGCCCAGAAGGAAAAGGAGCAGCAAAGACAGCAGCAAGCAGCAGCGCTGCGACAGCAACATCAAGCAGCAGCAGCAGCAGCAAACCCGCGATGGGCCCCAGATGCCGCCGTTGTGCTGCTGCTGCGCCTTTTCTGCGCTTCATTTCTTCAGCTACATCTTCCACTTGCTGCTGCTGCTGCTGCTGCTGCCGACGCTGATGCTGTAAGTCTAGCTGCCTCTATTGCTGCAGCTACAGCTGCTGCTGCCGCAGCGGTTGCTGCTGCTGCTGCTGCTCTCTTGAGTTCGTTGTTGTTGTTGCTGCTGCAACAACTGTTGCACCTGGTATTTGCTAGTGAATACAACAAAGAGAAGCTCTAGCAGCAGCAGCTGCTGCTGCTGCTTCTGCTGCTGCTGTTGCAGCTGCTGCTGCTGCTGCTGCAGCGGCCTTCGCCACCGAGGCCCTGAGCAGCTGCTATTGCTGCTGCTGATAGTGTTAATAATGATGCTTCTGCTTAGCGTTGTTATGCTGCTAGCGTAGCTGCTGCTGCTGCTGCTGCTGCTGCGGCTCTTGTCGATGCTGCTGTCTCCTCAGCCAGCATTGACTTGTGTTGCTGCTGTTGTTGTTGCTGCTGCTGCAGTTGCATGCATCTCTTTTCTCAGTAAAAAACATAATTTGTGCTGCTGCTCCTTCTGCTACAACAGCAGCGCTACTGCTGCGGCTCTGCCGTAGCAGCGAGACCTGCATGCGGCGCTGCTGCTGCAGCAGCAGCAGCAGCAGCGAGCATACAGCAATAGCATATACTGTATAGTTGACTCCTTCTGCTCTTCATTATTCTTTATATGCTGCAGCAGCAGCAGCAGCAACACAATATAACCCTCTGCAGCCCTAAGCCCCAGCGCTGTCTTCAAGGAGACAGGAGACACCAGCAGCAGCAGCAGCAACAGCAGGGCGCAGCTGCA